GTGGAGCACATGCAAGGGAATTTTAAGTATTGAAACCAAGGTTCACAAAGATTCAATGATATGTCCAAAGTCATTCTTACGAAGTGCCTGAGCCCAGGCCTGAATCCAAGGGTTCTGACTCGGCATTCTTTTTTTTAATACCAAACTGACCTAGATACATGATGGCTTTCTTTTCCTTTTTTATAAGCATTGTTAGGTTCAGTATTCAAGTACTTCTCAAGCTAGATATTTGTTTTTCTTTTCATTGAAGTTTGTTAAATTGTAGTTTTTATATGGAATTAAGCAAAAGGCTTAAATAACCACAATAGGTAATGTTCGTAAAAAATAAAAGCCAAGGATTTTCCAAAGTTAGATTATTTCCATAGTTAATAATAAATGTTTATATTTTATTGATTTTTTTTAATATAACAAGAAAATTATCACTAACAAAAGGCTCTTAAGCATATACGATGTTTAGAATCACACATATCTAAGAGAAATGCAAATTAAAACAACACTGAAATAATTTTGATGTATCAGATTGGTAAAGATTCAGAAGTTTGATAACATGCCGTGTTGACAAGGGCGTGGGTAAACAGCCACACTCTCATTCATTGCTGGTGCAGATGTAAATCATTAAACATCTGCATAGGTGATTTGGAAATATTCATTAAATTACAGATGACCCAGAAATCTCACTTCTAGGAATTTATTCTACATATATATTCACACATTGAAAAATATGTATATCCAGGATTATTCATAGAATCATTCTGTGTAATAACAAAATGTCCAACAGTAGAGGATGTAATAGCATAAAAAGGTCCGTCAGTTGGGGACTCATTAAAGAAATTTTGCTACACCACTGCAATAGAAATCAGTGCAAACAAGTAATGATATTCAACTCTGTACCCCACAGATATGTACNAAACAGCCACACTCTCATTCATTGCTGGTGCAGATGTAAATCATTAAACATCTGCATAGGTGATTTGGAAATATTCATTAAATTACAGATGACCCAGAAATCTCACTTCTAGGAATTTATTCTACATATATATTCACACATTGAAAAATATGTATATCCAGGATTATTCATAGAATCATTCTGTGTAATAACAAAATGTCCAACAGTAGAGGATGTAATAGCATAAAAAGGTCCGTCAGTTGGGGACTCATTAAAGAAATTTTGCTACACCACTGCAATAGAAATCAGTGCAAACAAGTAATGATATTCAACTCTGTACCCCACAGATATGTACAATTAACTATGGTTACAATTTTTAAAAAAATACATTTTCTAAAAAAACCAGTGCAATTCATAAAAAGAATATATGGCATGGAACAATCTCCATAATGTAATATTTAAAGGGAAGTAAAGCAAGGAGCAGAACAATGTGTAA